CTCCGCGGAGTCGACCACCAACAGGATAGACTCACCTCCGCGGAGTATATTTGTCCACAAGAAGGTCACGAGAGGTCAACGTTCTCTGGGACAACGTACAGGTCACTTGCACAACAACCAAAACTTATAACGGGAATGACAGGACGACGTCACCGTTTATTATAGCAAATCATTACCTTAAAAGGTAAAGTCAAAGCTCGTCGGCCTCTTAGAGGCGTAGCACAACGCCAAGTTGGCCAGAAGGAACGTTTTTTTGCATGTATTTACGCTGTAGAGGTGCAGAAAAATGACATTTCGGCTGGCCAAGTGTTTGTCGTCGCCAGGCTCTACTCTGCTCTACTCTAGACACTCTAGCCTCGGCCTCCGCGCTTCTCGGTGGAAGTCTACGGTGTCAGGCAAGGTGGAACACGGCGAGGAGAAGGAAGGAGCCACGGCAAAGCCTTTCGAGGCTATCCCCGGCCCAAAAGGCCTGCCGTTTGTGGGGACAGCTCTACATGCGGCGTTGGGAGGCTGGATGGACAAGTTCCATCTCCATATGCAGGTAAACTAGAGTTCCACGATTTCATACCTCCACCAGAAATCATTTCCTGATTTAAAGTATGCCCTACATGAATGAATGAATGACTGGTTTATTAATTGCATGATTTGACTGTTGAGTGCATGGAAATAGTAGTCAGTTCTCCACCCCAAGGTGCCTGGCACCATCGACTGTTCTGAGCACCGTACCATAGCCCTTATATCCCATGTCAGTAAGGTTCTTCTCCGAATCCTCCTACGACGGATGGAGAGAGTGGCAGACCAGGAGTTTGCAGAAGAGCAGATGGGTTTTAGGAAGAGGGTGGGTACAAGGGACCAGATCTTCAACCTAAGGGTACTGATGGAAAAAGCAAGGGAAAGCAACGTGCAGCTCTTTATGGCCTTTATTGATTACAAGAAAGCCTTTGACTCAGTTAGACATCAAACCTTATGGGAGGTGATGGGAACTATGGGAGTTTCAGGGCACTTGGTCAAGTTACTACACAACCTGTACAGGGACCAGCAGGCAGCAGTGAGAGTGGAAGATGACCTTACAGACTGGTTCGATGTAAAGAAAGGCGTAAGGCAAGGCTGCTTGCTGTCGCCGATGTGTTTTAACTTTTACTCTGAGGCTGTAATGAGGGAAACTGTGGAGGAACATCCCACGATTGGAGTCAACATAAGTGGCAGGGTCATCAACAACCTCCGCTTCGCTGACGACATAGCACTGATAGCTACCTCGCCGGAAGATCTTCAGGTTCTGCTAGACTCTACAGACAGCACATCTAGAGAATACCAACTGGAAATCAGTACCAAAAAGACCAAAGTGATGGCCGTAACCAAAGCACCCA